TGTGCCAGGGTCTGGAAGGTTCCCTTTCAGTCTCCCCCTATTAATTAATGATTCAAGAACTGTTACAATGGTTTTACACTTCCTCCCCTACAATCTTCAAATGTCCTTATAAATATCCCCCCTGCCAACAGGCCTTTTAAGGAGAGAGGAATGGTCTCCTAATGGCTTCTTACCAGGCTGGAAGGAATGATAATTCCCACACAGACAACAAAAGGTCATTGTATGAGTGATAACTTCCTCCAGTAACCTGAAAAAAACAGTGTTCTGTTCTTTTGAACCCTGAAATGAAACCCTGACACAGGGTGAGTTTTCAGTCCTTCTCATCTTGGAATCATCCCATAATCCTTCACTTCAGTTGCCTTCAGAGTCAAAATCTCTTCCCATTGGGTGAGGCTATAATTTGTCCTGGGTGTTCTCATGTCCCCAGGAGCCCATTGTGTGCATCTGTCTGTTCAAAGGGCATTGCTCAAACATGAAGACTACAGGTGTGAGTGGGCTGACTTACAGAGCCCATGTGTCATTTATCCTCACGTCATTCTCTGATTCACTGCCTCATCAGCCTCCTTTATTCCCAGAAGTTTAGGAAGGCCATCACTCATCAGCTTGGAAAAGTAGCATATCCATCAGCTCAAATGCCTATCAACTAGCTCAGGAGTAAAGAAGTAGCTTTTCCTACTAATTCCCCCTAGATAGTAAATGATTTAATTTAGCAATTATTAATTTATTTGCATTAATTATTTTATTGACTATTAATTATCTATGCACTAATTTTATTTATTCAAGATTTATTAATCTTGAGTTGTCTTTTCTTTTCAGTCTGCCCAGTTTCCTAAGCCCTTCTGTCACTAGATGAGGACTAGCTTTCTACCAATTAGCTATTTAGTATTCACTGAGCAGGCCAATGCCTCAAAATAACTGGTCCTTTTATTGCATCACTTTCAAACATCATATTTCTGTTTGCCTTTTAGTGTTATAATAAGCTACATACTTCCCTAATTGGTACGTTCCAGTCTTAACTTGCACACATCTATGCAAGGTGACACTAGATACTTGTTCCTCTAAACAACCTGTTCCTCTAAATGTTTAGGTCGTGCCTGAACGTTACAAAAAAAACAAACAAACAAAAAAACAAGTGAGTCACTGATAATATTCCTAGTAAGCATATAGGCATGTACCAGAAAGGCTATTTTGTTGCACCTCTCTACTGAGATTTCAGTATTCTTTACATGCTCAATAAAATTGGCTGTTTCTCCCAGATTTCAAGTCCCTTTTAAACAGTCAAGGAAAGTCAAAATCTTAACTATAAAACTTCACTTTTAAAATGAGAATCTCAGAGTGGTGAGTTCCAGTCAAGATGGCAGAGTAGTTAAATGCTGTACTTACCTTCTCTCATGACCACATCAATATTACAACTAAAATACAAAACAACCATCATTGAGAATTACCTGAAATCTTGCTGAACCAAAACTCTACAACTAAGGTCATACAGAAGAAGCCACCTCGAGACTGGCAGGAGTGGTGCAGGCACTGAATGGGCTGGTCCCACACCCAGGTTTGACCATTAAAAATCAGGAGGGATATCTTGGCTGAGGAGATCCCCCCCTGAGAAGGGAAGTTTCCTAGCTTCTCCCCAGCCCAGGGTTCTGGTGCTGGGGAGAGAAGTCCCCATAATTTCTGGCTGTGAAAACCAGTGGAGATTGTGGCTGAGTGAGATGGAGAACAGCTGGAGTCCCAGGAGTTCCTCTTAAAAAGACCAAGTCGGACTTACTCACCAAGGGAATAACTGGCTCTAAGCTCCACTGCTAGGGCAGAGCAGGAGAGGCAATGGGGTCATAAGGAGGGGAACTGAGTTGTCGGGCTTCAGGACCAGGGCTGTAGGGGCAGCTTTCTTCTGGACAAAGAATCTGGTGGAGGCCATTGTTTCTTTGTTGAGCCTTCCCCTTCCCAGCATGCAGATATAAGTGACAGCCATATCTGAGTCTCGATCAAGCTAGCTAACACTGTTTGTTTGACACACCCTGGTGATTCTGAGACCCTGCCCCACCCAACTTCCGGGCACACCCAAGTTGCTTCCAGTGACTTTTTCATAAAAACTGCCTGCCTTGGCTCATGCTGAAAACTTTCCTAGAGTCTCTCAAAGGTTTGTGGAACCCAGAGAAGCAGCACCAGGCTTGAGTATGTCCCACACTTCTGTCTGAGCAGCCCAAAGCCCAGCACTAGTGGCAGCCAGCCTTGGTGTGAGGCTTGGTCTCCCAAGGCACTTCCAAGCATGGCACGAGTGGCAGACAACTGCGGATTGCTTTGTGGCTCCTGCTGGGTGGCCACATGTGGANGAGTATGTCCCACACTTCTGTCTGAGCAGCCCAAAGCCCAGCACTAGTGGCAGCCAGCCTTGGTGTGAGGCTTGGTCTCCCAAGGCACTTCCAAGCATGGCACGAGTGGCAGACAACTGCGGATTGCTTTGTGGCTCCTGCTGGGTGGCCACATGTGGAGCGTGGGCTGTGGCTGAACTTGACCTGTGGCTGGTCCCCTCCCAGGTGGCCCTGAGGCTGACACACCCAGTGGCCAGCTTTGAAAAGAGCTGGAGCGTCACCCAGCCCCCTCCAACGATGACCCACCCAAAGGGCAGATTGGGCAGGAACCAGAGTCCTGCTGAGGTAGATCCTGCTCTGTAGGTTCAGCCCCTGCACCACAACTCCTCCACTGTAGTCATGGCCAGTCCTCACAACCAAAGAGCCCAAGGGTCAGTCTATCCCATTGATGTGCAAACAGCAACCAAGGATCAACTTCAAGAGGAGGGCACAAACAACCCATACAAGGGACACACCTGGAATGTGCAGCTCAGGTGGCCATGAAGACTGCACCATTGAGCCCCACAGCATACTCACTAGATAAGGCCACTCTACTAAGCCCAGAAGGCATAGTAGCCCTACCTAATACATAGAAACAAACACAAGGAGGCAGCCAAAATGAGGAGACAAAGAAACATGTCCCAAATAAAAAAACAGAACAAAGCTCCAGAAAAAGAACAGAGCAAAATGAAGACAAACAATCTACCAGATGCAGAGTTTGAAACATTGATTAAAAGGATGATCAATGATCTCAGGGAGAACTTCAACAAAGAGATAGAAAACATGAAAATGGAGATAGAAAACATAAAAAAGAGCCAGTCAAAAATTAAAAATACAATAACTGAAATGAAGAATACATTAGAGGAAATCACCAGTAGAGTAGATGCAGCAGAAGATTGATTCAGCAATTTAGAAGATAAGGTAGCAGAAAACACCCAATCAGAAAAGCAAAAAG